GAGAGACGACAATCTTCCCGGAAGCATCTGGAAGGAGAAAGGGCGGTGCCTCTGAAGGGCCCTGGTCGAAGCACTGGGTCACGGTCACCATGCCAACCCAATGGGAGTAGGTCACGCATGTTGATGGCTGCTGTCCATTTTGGCACTTGCTGCGCTAAATAGAAGTCCTGCCGGGTGTGCCAGCCCATGACAGACGCTTGCCAGACCATCTATAAACATTTCCGGTTGGGAGTTCATTATGAAACTGGCTGTGATCATCGTCCTGATTGCGGTGTTAAAGAATTTCTGAAGAGATGGGGGCGCTCTATAAATTTCTCCTGATCAGCCAGATCGCATGAACAGGAAGGCTCGTGGCCGTACGAGGGTAAATAAGAGTGGTTGGGCTGGCTTGCTCGGTAACGACTTGGGCACAGGGGTGGGCCGATACACACATGAAGACACTGCTCGCTCAATGATGCTTACCGGTATGTTGGATTGAGGGGAGGGTAGGTTCTAATTGGTGCTCAACTGAATACACAACCATACCCACTCATCATACATCTGCAACATGGTTTTTTTGTATTTTGATTAGTTGGTGGACAGACTGCTAACACCTCACAGACAGAATTAGATTAGGACTGTTGTATGCTACCATAGCCAGTTCTGTCTAATGCTGCTGTAAGTGAACCAATCAGAGTATATCTAGACTATGTAGACAATCTGTTGTGAATGTTGTAGACATGCCACTTGATTGGTACAATAGGGGACCTGCCGGACACAACTATTTTTAGAAAATTAGGTGCCGGTCAGACACATGCTGTGGTAGGACTCCACCAGGGGGTTCTAGTGCAGACAATGTTTGCCTAATTCATGAACGGGTCAGACGTCAATGAGGAGGGGGTTGACGATGTTAGACTAACACGTGCAAGGTCACGTAGGATCCCGCACGTGTTCCAGGCCCTACAACCGGAAGACGAAAGTCGCATTCGTGCCGAATGCAGAGCCCGTGCTCTCGCAGCATCGAGAGAGGCAGCAAACGTTGCAGCTAGGGAACAGGCTGCAGCAGCAGCCAGGGCAACAGCCATGTCTTCTGCAGCAGCATCCTCCACTGCATCTTCTGTTGTCTCCTCGTCTGGACCCCAGTTGGGAATGCCAACAGGGTCCGCGGGCACTTACAGTTCAGTAGGATCACGTCATTCTACAAGTCAAACGGCGGGCTCGCAGTTCAGCCCGTTGACTCCTCGCGAAAGGGAGCTAAGGGAGCTCCAACAGGTCGAAAGGATCCGTGAACGATTAGAGAGGGAACGGAAACAAACTATCGACAGAGAAAGGGAGATTAAAAATAGAGCAGCCAGGCTTGATACTTTAGAGGCTGACAAAGTTGAGTTAGAGGGCTTGGATGACTCTGGAATGAATGAGCCCATGAAAGTGTTGAGGAACAACATGATGTCGCTGCATGCGCACTGGACAACAGGTTGGACTTTATGCAGAGCACTCTAGACCAGATCCTGGACGCTTTGACAAGGCCAGGATTTAGGCCACCAGCACAATCGTCGTTGCCGTTATCGCCGATGTCAGGCCCCTTTCCAGTTCAAGCTGGTACACAACCAAGTGGTACGTCTGCAGCAGTCGCACAGACTATTGCATCTTCTTCTTCGGGTCCAACGGTGGGAGCTACACCACCGCAACAACCTGTTCAGCAATCTGGACAGCCGCGGGGTAAGTGGTATCCTAAGACCCCAATGAAACCGCCTCTTGCCTTCTCAGGCGAGAAAAAGGACGAAGAGCTCAACACATGGTTGAGGACAGTCTCGGTTTGGATGAAGGCAAAGAGGACCTTGCCTGAGGATGAAGTGGTAACTGCTGCATCTTACCTCGAGGGTAAGGCAACCAAATGGCTAGATGGTGTAGTTGTGAAGGCAGGGTACAGGCGACGCATGGCGGACTGGGCTAAGTCATTAACGTTAGACCAGTTCATGGAAATGGTAGAAGCTCGATGGCATAATCCACAGGAGGCACAAAGGGTCACTGATGCGATTAACAAACTGGACCAACGAAAGTTCAAGTCGGTCAGAGAGCTTACGACTACCGTTGAGAGCCTGATCCTCGTCCCTGGCATCAACTATAGTGACCAGTTCCTGTTGACAACTTTTGTTAGATGTCTTCCTGAGAACATCAGGAACTTGTTGGCCAGCGGGGCATGCCTCGAGTACCATTCATTTGAGACATTGTCTAGGAAAGCCTTAGATTTGGAGGCCACACTAGGCAATGCTCAACCCACTCAGAATGACACGAAGAAGAAGAAGAATCCTCAAGAGTGGAAGAAGAAGGGGGCTAAGTTGATGATGGTGGAGTCCGATGGGACTTAAACTGAGATCGACGAGCTCACTGACCTGATGGACTATACAGAGTTTGATGGCAAGGAGGTAGCTGAGGGTAGCACCCTCGCCGTGGTAGTCAAGACTAAGGCAGGTGGTCGAGGGAAGGGCCAACCTAGGAGTCAAGGGAAGGCCGCCTCCAATCAGTCCAAAGTGGCTGAATGGGTGAAGGCAGGTCTTGATCAAGACGTGTGGCGTGACCGCCGAGTGCGTGGCGCTTGTATCAATTGTGGGGAATACGGACACTCGCAATACAAGTGCCAGAACGCAAAGGTTACGCAAAAGATAGCTCCAAAGATGGGGGCATCTTATTCCCAGGCTTCTAGCTCGGGAAACGCGTGAGGCCAGTGGAAGTTTAAGCGGTTTCTACTCAAGATGACATGGGCTTGATACCCTCCCCACTTCATGACAAGGCTAAAGCTAATGACTCCTTAGCCACCACGCAGACACATCTAGACCAAACTATGCTTTGTACGTTGATGTGTCTGAGGACTTAGAAGACTTAGAAGGTGAGTGGTCAAACAAGGACCCTCGCGAGTCTTGGGTGGCACTGAAGAAAGGTCCTAGAGGCGAACATTTCGTGGTGGAAGTGGATGTAGGAGGCCGCAAATGTGGTGCCTTCATAGACATCGGATCCACGCGGAATTATGTAAGTCGCGACTGTTTGGAAAGGCTGTACCTACATGACCGGGTACAGCAACTTAGTAGACCTGTAGCATCTACTTTGGCCAACAAGGAGTGCATGATAGTAACAGACTATATCAAGGACGTAGTCTGTACCTTCTCCTATGGAGGAGGAGAGCTTAACCATAAAATTTCGTTCTTGGTTAGCGACGACTTACCATTCGACATGTTGTTAGGCATGTACTACCTCGAAGTTGCTAAGCCCCAGTTCGACTGGGATAAGAAGGTGCTCAAGCATAAGTTGCCCGATGGCCGAACTATCAGATTGACCAAGTTCAAGGCCAGTAGCATTATAGATACCTATGGCTGCTTGTGCGCATCAGCATTCTACAATTACTAAAAGCAAAACCAAGAGGAGGGTATGTACCTTGTGTATGTCTCTGAGAAAGGGGAGGCCGTTAAAACACCCCCAGAGATAGAACGCGTCGTTGCTAAGTTCCCTGATCTGTTCGAGGAGCCCACAGGAGTTGTTAAAAGGGAAGTTGTCCACGCTATAGAAATCATTCCAAGGAGTAAGACCCCAAAGGGAAGGATCTATAGGATGGCTTCTATCGAGTTAGATGAACTTCGGCGACAGCTTAAGGAGCTGACAGAGAAGGGATGGATTCGGCCTAGTACTTCCCCTTACGGATCACCCGTTCTATTCGTACCGAAGAAGGGGGGTACTTTGAGGATGTGCATTGACTATAGAGGCCTCAATGCCATCACAGTGAAGAACGCAGAGCCTCTACCTATTGGATAGGGTATAGGGATGCAAGTACTATATAGTAAGATAGACTTGAAATCCGGATATCACCAGATCGCAATAAGACCTGAGGACCAACACAAGACAGCCTTTCAGACCAGATATGGTCTGTATGAGTTTGTAGTGATGCCCTTTGGTCTTTGCAATGCGCCGGGTACATTCCAGCACGCTATGAATCGGATCCTCCATGACCATTTAGATAATTTTGTCGTGGTATACCTTGACGACATTTTGATCTTTAGTAAGTCTGCCGAGGAGCATGCACAGCACGTTGAGACTGTACTTTCACTCCTGCGACAACACAAGTATAAGGTCAACTTAGAGAAGTGTGAGTTTGGTCACACTAAGATACTATACTTGGGTCATGAAGTATCCACGGAGGGGATTAGGGCGGAAGATGCGAAGGTGGCTAGTATTCGAGACTGGCCACGACCTCGGACAGTCACTGAGGTCAGATCATTCTTAGGAATGTGCGGCTACTATAGGAACTTCGTTAAAAACTATTCTACAGTCGCCTCTCCTTTGATTGATCTAGCTCGACTTGACATGCCGTGGGACAGGAGTGATGAGTGTGAGGGTGCTTTCAAGAGATTGAAGCATGCACTCATGAATCATGAGGTCCTCATGGTTCCTGATCCTCAGAAGCCATTCATAGTGACCACTGACGCAAGCCAATATGGCATTGGCGTAGTGCTGGCTCAGCAGGATGGGAAAAAGTTGAGACCGATTAGGTACATGAGGAAGAAGATGTCATCGAAGAAGTTGGCAAAGTCCACCTACGAAAGGGAACTCTATGCTCTATACAAAGCACTTGTCCATTGGAGGCACTTCGTATTGGGAAGGTTCTTCTACTTGAGGACTGATCATCAGACCCTCAAATGGATCAAGACTCAACCGACTCTTTCTGATGCACTCAAGCGATGGATTGAGGTCATAGACCAATATGACTTCAAGCTTGAGTATCTGAAGGGAGAGTATAACAAGGTTGCTGATGCGCTATCACGTAGAGCAGACTACCTAGGTGCACTAGTTTCTGACTTTGGCGTATCTGAAGAAGTAACTCAATCATTGGTGGGAGCCTATCAGGAAGACCCTCTCACGATGGACATCATGCGCAAACTTCAGGCAAAAGACAAGGCCACGAAAAGTGAGTTTGTGATGGTGGACGGGTTACTCTATCTTGATAAGGCCGGAATAAAAAGATTAGTAGTTCCATCTAGTGAGCGATTGCATAGTTTGTTTTTAGGCGAATGTCATGACGCAACTGGCTCTTTGGCTACAAGAAGACGAGTGCTAACCTAGTACAACGATTTTGGTGGCCAGGAATGTTTGATGACGCAAAGAAGTACGTAAAGACCTGTCAGGTCTGTCAGCGGGACAAGCCGCGAACTCGAGCACCGCTTGGGTTGTTGAAGCCTTTGCCTATTCCTACTGGTCCAGGACAGAGTGTTTCCATGGATTTCATGGACACCCTCGTGACTAGTAAGAGTGGCAAGAGGCACATCTTCGTCATCATCTATCGATTCACCAAGTACGCTAGACTAGTGGCTATGCTAGAGACCGCAAGAACTGACTATGTCATCAAGTTGTTCAAAGACAACTGGGTGCGTGACTTTGGTTTACCAAAGTCAATCGTTAGTGACCGAGATGTCCGATTCACAAGTGAGTTGTGGAAGAAGACTTCAGAACAGATGGGCAGTCAACTTCAGATGAATTTTGGGAATTATCCCGGAGCCAACGGACAAGCCGAGCAAATGAACAGAGTTGTACAGCACTTGCTGAGGCATTACATCAAGCCCAGCCAGGATGATTGGGATGAGCAGTTGCCTCTCATCGCCAGCCTGTACAACAACGCTGTCCACAGCAGTACCGGCGTTAGTCCTAATCAACTTCACTTGGGATGGAAGCCTAGATCAGCATTAGACTTCCTCCTACCTGAAAAACGACCTGCTGCAACTCCAGGCACACTTGAGTATGGTGTGCAGTATGAGAAGTTGCTGGAAGAAGCTGTCGAGCACATGAAGAAAACTCCGCAAGCAATGATTGCTTATGAGAATCAACACCGTAGACAATCCACATTTCAGATAGGGGAAAGTGTCTGGGTCAAGGTTAGTGAGTTAGGACAGGAATTCGGAATCTCTCGCAACTAATGCCTCAGTACTTTGGTCCCTGGGAAGTCCTGGATATAGTGGGAGAAAAATGTCATTCGTGTCCCTGGACACCTACGCACTCACCCAGTCTTTCATGCCTCAAAGCTTGCACCTTTCGCCGAGACAGATCAATTCCCTTCCAGGAGATCGATGCTGCCCCCAACCATGGATGGTCAAGTGGACATCGACGACGTTGTGGATCACAGGGATATGCCTGTTCCGAAGCCGCTGGGTCGAGGTATACCTCCTAAACCCAAGAGAGAGTATCGCGTCAGATTCAGGCATCATACGGATCCAAACGAAGATCGGTGGTTTACCAGAGACGAACTGATTGAGACAGCTCCTCAGGTGGTGGCAGACTACGAGAGACTGCTGAAAGGGAAGGCACCTGCGAAGTAAGCATCTCAGCGGACTTTCGAAGCTAAGGGGGATGGAATGTGAGGATTGAGCCCTCAAGGAGGGGCCTTGCCATGATGTACATGTTATGGGCTAAGGCCCCAACAAGCCTAGTGCCCGCCCTAAGTGAAGGCGGGCCAGGAAATCAACAAGAGCCCTCTGTGCAAACATTTCCCGAAGTGGGGTCCATA